CCCTAAACCCAAAAGCCCTAAACCGAAAGAATCCTAAACCTTAAGCCCTAAACCCTAAACCCAGAGCCCTAAACCCCAAGAGTCCTAAGCCCTTAGCCCTAAACCCCCCTAAGCCCGAAACTCTAAACCCCAAGAGTCCTAAGCCTCTTAGCCCTAAACCCTAAACTCCGCCCCTAAGCCCCAAACCCGAAGCCGTAAACCCTAAACCCCCCTAAGCCCGAAACTCCGCCGCTTTGTCAGGACGCCAGCCAGCCCCCGCACACGGCCATCATCGGCTGTGCTGACTCCCGGGTTGCCATGGGCAAACCCAGCAGTCAGCTTTTGAGTTTTTGTTTTCGGGGGTTCCTTTAAAGGGTACTATAGGGGTTCTTTTAAAGGGTACTACAAGGGTTTAGGGTTTAAGGGTACTATAGGGGTTCTTTTAAAGGGTACTGCAAGGTTTTAGGGTTTAGGGTTTCGGGTTCAGGGTTTAGGGTGTAGAGTTTAGCGTCTATAGAGTTTAGGGCTCAGGGCTTAGGTGTAGAGGTATTTCCTTCAACGTGCAGAACCTACTTTTTGCAGCGTCCCTACAAAGTCTGTATTAGGGTTTTATCGTAATGAGAACTTACAAAAAAGTAGGTCATGGCAGTCTATAAGGTAGGGTTTGTGTGGTCTCATGTGGTGGTTTCGTTGGCCTAAGCCCTAAACCCCAGACCCTTTGATGTTTTGAGTCTTTCGGTTTTCATGGCCTTCCTTCGAAAGAGGCAAAGGGTAGGAAGGGTACCCTTGTTTCAAGAGGGTTCAGGGCTGAGGGTTCAGGGTTTAGGGTTGAGGGTTTAGGGCTTAGGGTTGAGGGTTCAGGGTTTAGTAGCTTATTCGAGCACTTCGTAAAGCCCCTCTGCAGCCCTCCCCTATGAAACCCTCCCTTACCACCACTACCCTACCCATAGGCCCTAAAGTAGTTCAATCGTGGGGTTCATATATGGAATCCTATAAGGTAACCGAACTACTATGGGGCCTAAACCCTAAACCCTAAACCCTAAAGCCTAAACCCTAAAGCCTAAAGCCTACACCCTAAACCTTAAACCCTAAGCCCTCAACCCTAAACCCTAAACCCTAAGCCCTGGAAACCCTAAACCTTAAACCCTAAGCCCTAAACCCTAAGCCCTAAACCCTAAGCCCTGGAATGGAAACCCAGGTTCCTCTGGAAACCATTTTCGATGCCTTGCCGGGGGACTTGTTCGTGTTGAGGAATGCCGGCAACACCTGCACCCATGCACCTGGGAAGCGCAATATAAATAGATAAATATATATACATATATATATATATATATGTATGTACAGATAGATAGATAGATAGATAGAGGGGCCTAAATAACTACCAATATTATTCCCTGGTTTCCTCATGGTAATTCTACTATAAAGGTGCTCAGAACCTTATTCTGATTATTTAGGCCCCTGTAGTAATCAACATAGCAAGGCTCTACAAAGCCAAAATGCCACAGCAGGGCCTTGGGGCCCGTTATAGTCTTATTTAGGGGATTTAGGGTTTAGGGTTTAGGGTTTAGGGGACTAGAACAGATATAATATATTTTATTTTATTCCGATCCCCATGTTATGAAAGCGAGTGGATACCTAGCAAAGCCCCCTATATAGCCTCTACGTGGTTCTGTTTGAAAAATGCTCCTCAAGACCTTATTCTTCTCTTCTAGATTTTAGATCATTATACTCTACACCCTAAACACCAAAACCCCAAACGCTAAACCTCGGAACCCGGAAGCCTTAAACCTATAGGCCTTAAATACACAGGATCATCAGTGATCCGGCCCTCTTTTCCTTCTTAGGGCCGCTATGCTGGACCCGAACCCCCTTCACGTAGTGTAATGCGGTCTTACCGTAGGGTTGCATAAGGGTTTTTAGGCTTTCATCAGGGTATTCAAGCTGTTGTGAGGGTTTAGCAGGGTGTAGAAGGAAGCGTATCACGCCCCTGGACCCTTAAACCCTTAAACAAAAACTTACACAGCCCTTGCACAGCGAAAGTTCCTAAATCACCCGATGCCCTAAAGGTTCATCAATGCCACGAAAACCTGTAGATTCTTCCAAAATGGTTTAATTAGTGATGTGTTTAGGGTTTACGGGCCCGCAGAAACCCTCATAACACCGTACAGCAAAACCCATAGAGCCTTCATAGAATCCTTGCGGAAGCCTCAAATGAAGAGTTTCGGGCCCAGAAACCTTTGAAATCCCTCCCCCCCCATCAAAAACCCTTGAGATGGATGCCCAAATGAGTCTTCCTATTTGCAGCTTTAATTACCATGGTACGTACCCAGAGAGCTCAATAACCCTTTAATTTAGGAATATACTTTAAATTATGGGGCCTTAATATGATGATTTATGTGTATATATTATGATTTAAAGTATATGTTCCTTATTTAAGGGGTAGTGGGTTCTCTGGGTTTACCCCAAGGCATCAAGCCTCAGACCCCAAGCGCCACAAACCCTCGTAGAACTTCAAGAAGAGCTTTTCAAGGCAATCCTCTCCTACAAAAAGGGGCCTCAAGAAGTAGAATAGGATTTTTTTTTGAAAAAATCTATTATGCTATAAAACTAATGAGAACCTCCCCAAAATAGTATTGGTAATTTCAAACGCTTCGTGTCTTCCGCCTCGGCCCGGCCGTCTGTTGGTAGGAAGATTTGATGCCAGGTTTGTGTTTTTGTAGTGTACATGGAACCCTTTGGCTGAAGTATACAAGTCGCGGCAACCTGAGCAGTCAAGCTGTTCAAGCAGTCTGGAGACGGCGAGAAGTAGATTTGGTTTCGTGGTATTTTGATAGTATATTCATTCGGGACTGCATGGGTAGGAGGAAGGGGTAAGGCCGAACAGGGGGGTGGGAGCCCGGGAAGGAGACGGCAGGGAAAGCCAGGGAGAAGTGGGGGCCACTGGAGAGTGGAACCCTAAACCCTAAACCCTAAACCCTAAACCCTAAACCCTAAACCCTATAAACCCTGGAGAGGGGACTAAGAGGTGGGGACTATAGGGATTCCGAATCGGACGCTTCGGGCCCTGGCTGAGGCGGATTATAGGGTTTAGGGTTTAGGGTTTGTGGTGTAGGGTTCAGGGGTTTAGGGTTTAGGGGTTCAGGGTTTAGTAGGGGTTTAGGGTTTAGGGTTTAGGGTTATTCAGGCCCCTAAATTAATCATTTCCCTAAGGCCTCAATAGCCCAGAAGCCCTACGTAGTATGGTCTTTGGGCCCAAAGTTTTCGAATATGAGTCCGAAGGGCCTTAGGGTGAAGGCTCCTGCAACGCAGAACCTCGAGCGTTTAGGGTTTGTGGTTCAGGGTCCCCAGAAATGTCCAGAATCCTTGGCCCTTAGTCCCAGACCCTAAACCCCTTAAACAAAAGCCCATTTCGGACTCTTCTATACTATTCTATACTCTACTATACGATATTGAACTCTATTCTGCCATCAAGAAACACCATGAGGCTCAGGGAAGCATGGTGAGTAGCCTGGAGTTCTGCGTCGACAAGCTGCAGACACAGCTGATTCTCGTTTTGGGCCACACGCAGTGCCTCGATTGAAAGTGTTGATATAAGTCTCTGTATGTGTGTGTGTGTGTGTTTAACAGTTATAGCCGTAATTTACATTTGCATAGTTCGCGGTTTAAGTTTGGGTGTTTGAGGTTAAGACTCTCCGGGGTAAAGGGCACCTGGGGCTTCAGGCGTTTAGGCGCTGAAGGTTTTAAGCTTTGTAGCATGTGGAGCTCTGCTGGACAAGAGCTGTGGGTTAATGGCTGTGATTTGTTGTGAAGCAATCTAGAGGTCTGAAGTATCCCCTTGGAGCCTTACAGTTCCTGTATAGCTGCCTTTATCAGATGCCCCCTCCTCCCCAAGAAACTAACCCTAAGCCCTAAACCTTAAATCCTTAACCGTAAACCCGAGACCCATTCTGATGACATGGGCCCCTAAACCGTAAACCCTAAACCCTAACATTGTCAGGTTTTGCAATCCGAAACGCCTGCCACCATGAGACTTCTCAGCCCACCCCAAAACCTCGAAACTTGTAATCGGCTCCCCAGCTAAAACCGAATAGTAGGAAAAAACGGTACCCTTGTTTTGCTACTGAGGAACCTAGTGTAGTCGCCACAGTTAACTTACAGTATAATGTACCCCAAAACCTTCGTTTGATTATTGAAGCTTCATCACTGCTGCCTTTGTTTTGGGGGTTTAGGGTTTACGGCTTCCCACACGCAGATCCCGAATTACCTTCTAAGCTGCAACGTTTACCGACCTTATTACTGTTACAAGATCCTAACACTATAGCACTTTCTTGTTTGTCTATCCGTAAGGAAAATCATATGATGGTGTTTCATTTGCCTAGGGCATTGTTTGTTTTTGATTGAAGAAAGTCTCTGCGCTCATCCGGGGATCCCTGATGTGAGTTCACGCCTATCCCCCACTTACGAAAGTGACGCGGGCTCTTATTCAGGCCCCTTACAGTACCGCTATGAAACTAGGTCCCCTGACAACTCTTTGGCAAGCGTTAAATCTAAGTGCCAGCTCCGGCAAATTATGCCTGAAGCGCATCGGTGTCGCACCTGGCGATACTCGATGTTCCGACCTAGTGCCCTTGTCCTGGGCACGATATCTCGAGGCCAGCCAATGAAGCCTAAACTCTAAACTCATGACCCGCCTAAGCCCTGTGTAAGCCTTGAGCCCTACCTATAGTCTCCATTGTAACCCCAAGCCCCCAAAAGCCCAACAAAAAACACAGAGCCTCCACGGCGAGGTGCTACGCCCTGGCTCGGGCAGCGGAAGCGCACCAATGCCAAGGGAAAGGCGATCGCGGCAAGGCTCCGGGAGGTTTTTTTTTGGCGGGTTTTAGGGGGTTTTGGGTCCCTAAACCCTAAAACCCTAAACCCTGAACCCTGAACCCCCTAAACCCCCTAAACCCCTAAACCCTTTAAGTTAAGGGTTTAGGGCTTTGGGGTTTCAAGGCAAGGCTTAGTTCAAGGGTTTAGGGGTTTTGGGTTGAGCGTACAGTTCTTGGGGTTTCAGGGTTCCTTCTGGGGTTCCTTTAGGGCTTCTGTTTTCAGGGTCCTCTTGGGGTTCCTGAAGGGTTCTGTTTAGGGTTACCTGTAGGGGCTGGTAAAAGCACTACTGCAAGGCTTCGATGAAGGTTTAGGTTTTTTCCAGGTTAGGGGTCTTTGCGTCGGGGCTCAGAGTTTTACAAGGGTTCAGGCTTAGGGTTTGGTGTTCGCATGGCTTCGTTGACAGGGTTGTTTAAGGGATTGTATCGGGTTGCATGAAGGTCTTATACGGGCTTTTGATGAACCCTAAACCCCAAACCTAGGCCCTAAACCCTAAACCCTAAACCCTAAACCCCAAACCTAGGCCCTAGCCTGGGATGTGTAGGGGCTTCGGGGTTTAGGGCTTACCTCAATGGATTTAAGCAACCCTGGGTCAGGGTTTAGGCCCCCTGGTTTTCTAAGAGGGGTTTAGGGTTTAGGGTTTAGGGTTTAGGGTTTAGGGTTTAGGCATCTCTGAGCCGACAACGGCTTGAGAGGGGTAGTTCTTTCCGTCGGGGGCGGATTCCTGCCTTTCTCACGTGAACTCAGGACGGAACAGCAGTTACTGGCAAATCCCTTTCCTTGGAAAAGAGAGTGAGTGCGTGCTTTGACAATCAGTTCTGAGCACATATGAAGATACTTTTTCCATATGCTATATGAGTACATGGACCCTTACGGATTGAAAGAGAGCAATGTGGGCCGCAGCAGGAAAACATGCCGGAACCACCCCGTGTACCTCTACAGCAGCCACCAGGTGCGCCGAGGTACGAGGAGCCCAGTACGCGCCGTACCCTCCAGCACGGGCCATGATGTGGGCCCCAGGACCTATGCACCCGCCTGCAGCGTGGTGCCACCAGATGCCGCCACTTATCCCAACGCCTGCGGTGCCGACGGTGGCTCCGACAGCAACGGCGGCGATACCTACAGTTTCAGGGTTTAAGCCCGTGGTTCAAGATTTAGGCCCCGTGGTTCATAAGCCCACGTGGTTCAGGGTTTAGGCCCTGTGATTCAGTGTTTAGGTGCATGGTTCAGGGTTTAGGCTCTTGTGGTTCAAGGTTTCGCCGAAATCTGGTTTTTGCAGTCGGATTTTAAGGTGATAAATTTTGAACAAAACAAGCATTTTCAGATTAGACCGCACTATCTGAAGCTAAAACCCCTAAACTCACAGGTTCTTCTGGCACCATCCTATTGCAAAAGCCCCTAAACTCACAGGTTCTTCTGGCACCATCCTATTAAAGCATTGTAGAACCATTGGTAAACCCTCAAACACTAAAGCCCGTCATCCAAAAAACACCGAAACAATCCACAACCAACCAAACACACAAAACACCCACACAAGATGAGTTAGTATACACAATAACACCAACAGCAACAAATATAAGTTGACAGCCACACACACAAATAACAAACGCGTAGATCCTAAACCCTCACCAGTAGACAAGAACTGCAAGCCCGCAGGCCTCGGATGCCTTGGTCGAGGGGATGGCAGCCAGCACTGCAGCAGCCATGGTGGAGTTGGGAGAAACGGCCTCCATGGTCACCTGGTTACAGTTTAGAAGCCTAAACCCTAAACCCTAAACCCCTAAACCCAAAACCCTAATCCCTAAACCACCCCTAACCCCTAAACCCTAAACCCTCAACCCTAAACCTTAAACCCCAAACCCTAAACCCGAAACCCTAAGAATTAGTACCAGGTTTTTTGGGGAAGTATGATGGAATGAAGGAACCTAAGGAATAGTGTTGGGAGAAACAGCCTCACCTGGGCTCTACTTGTCATTTCTAGACGGTATAGGGTTAGGGTTTAGGGTTTAGAACAGGATTTTCGGGTAAGTATCATTGTATGGACGTCAAAGAAGAATGTCGGTTTTTGTGGCCTCCATGGCTACAATGGCCATGCGCCCTCAGTCCACAACCTTCAACCCTAAACCCCAATAAACCCTAAACTCCAAAGTGTAAACCTTATAACCTCAAGCGCCAACCCGAACTCACCACTCAGCAAATTTGGACTAAGTAATTTCAAGGGTGGGCTGGGTTTAATTAAGCCGAATTAAGTTTTCTGTCATCGTACTCAACCCCAAAACCCTGAATCCCTAAACCCTGAACCATAGACCCAGGAATTCCTAAACCCTAAGTAATCCATCGCCATGTTCATATCTCTACTACCCCCGACCCTGCGCGCATTCCCAGGACCCTAAGCACTCACCCTTGAGCCCAGGAATCCACTATTGCTACAGAAGATACAAAACTGTTCTTACAGTATATTACCGTATCTATCATTACGTCACTGTACTATAACTAGCTATAAACGAGCCTAAACCCCGAAAACCCCTAGACATCCCTAAACCCTAAGCCCCTAAATCCTAAACCCCCATAAACCCTACTGTAAACCCTAAATCCCAGAAGCTTAGATTAGAGCCCCAAACCCTGCTAAGGCATAGAGGTTTAGGGCTTAAGGCTTAAAGGTTTAAGCCCTAGAACATGAACACCCAAGCTGGGCTCTTGTTAGGGAGTTTAATTTAAGTTATCCTAACAGGGATCTATTATGCGTAACGATAACTTCTATAATCGGCAGGGCTTGCTAATTATGGTATTTTCAGTTGTTGAGGTAAGTTTCTGAACCAAGCCCGGCAAGGAAGAGGTGACCAACCTCGCAACGAAGTGGAACGTCTTCCATACCATTCAGTGCCTACTTCAGTACAGCCAGCCGATCCGGGACAAGGCCGATCCGGATCTGTGCTGTTTTGGTGTGTGGGTTTAGGTGTGTTTAGGGTTTAGGGTTCAGGTGTTTGTGCCCTAAACCCTAAACCCTAAACCCTAAACCCTAAACCCTAAACCCTAAACCCAAACCCTGTGGTTTACTTGATCTTTGTTTGTACCAGTTTTTCTGCTGGGCTCGGGGCCTCTCTTTGGGGCTTAGTGCTTGGACAGCGCAGAGCTTACGGCGTTTGGGGTTTGGGTTTGCGGGTTTTACTGGGCTCTTGTTAAGGGATTTAATTTAAGTTACCATAATAGGGATCTATTGTAAATAATATGGTTTCCTTATTATGGTAACTTAAATTAAATCCCTTAACAAGAACCCAGTTTAGCTTTCCTTCAGGGTTGGCTGTTTGGGATTTTCAAGCTTGGGCTGTTGGGCTTGGTTTGGTCTGTACCCAGAGAACCCCATACCTCTTAATTAAGGAATCTACCTTAAATCATTATATTGAGGCCCATATACTTTAAGGTATATTCCTTATTTGAGGGGTATTGGTTTCTCTAGGTAGTTGTAGTATTAAGGATTCATGACCATTCGATGCTGTTTATTTTGTGTTGGCTAGGGGCATCTTTTCTTTTGCGCGGACTTGCAGTGGAATATAATCTGGACCCGTACAGCCATGCAGTGAGCCCTAAAACCCTAAACCCTAAACCCTAAACCCTAAACCCTAAACCCTAAACCCGACCGTTCTTGAAGTCATACCCCACAGCCCGGTTTTCAGAATTACGGCTTCTCTGTTAAGCTTTGGCAGAGGCCGCTTGCTAGCCCAAAAAAAACCCTAAACCCTAAACCCTAAACCCTAAACCCTAAAGGCCCTCAAACAAAAACCTAAAGAATTGAAACAAGTGTAGGGTGTTGGATTGAGGGTAGGCCCTCCTAAACCCGGCTGAAGCCCTCATACCTATGGAAGCCTCATCAAACTCCTCTACGACCCTATAAATTCATTACGAAACCAACACTGTCTATGAATCCCGATAGTCTCCTGTTATATGCTTAAAAAATCGTTTCGCAACCCTAAACCCTAAGCCCCTGTATCCTAAACCCTAAGCCTTCAACCCTGAACCCTAAACCCTCAACCCTGAACCCTAAACCCTAAACCCTCAACCCTAAACCCTAAACCCTCAACCCTGAACCCTAAACCCTCAACCCTGAACCTAAACCCTAAACCGTGGCAGGTTCAGCGTGGTGCTCTCGTCGTTCAGGGAGCGGTTTACGACAGCCACACGCGTCATGTGGAGTTCTTGGAATGCCCTGAAGCAGTGCTGAAAGGCCGGGTTTGGGCCTGAAAGGATTCCTTTAAAGGGTACTACTAAGGGTTCCTTTAAAGGGATCTATAGGTGCGTAGGGGTTTAGGGTTTTTGGGTTTAGGGGTTGGGGCTTAGGGCCTTAAGCTTTGAACCCATGTAGTAATAGCGTTCGAGGGCCTCTTTCTGACTTCAAGGAAGACCCTATTCTAAGACTTTTCGGTGGTCTATGCCCTGGAAATCAGAATCAAGCGCTCTAAGAAACTATTACCGCTAAGGGTCCAAGTACCTAATGATCATATACAACCCCAAATAAAAACCTACATCACTACTACATGCCCGGTAATAAAGT